CTCTTCAGGTTTGCTATCAAATCATCTCAATTGTTTTGCAGTTTATTAAAAATGTCCTGCACATCTGGTCTAATCAGTCAGAGGAGAATCGCCCAATTTGATTGTCAATAGCAATCCTGGGATATCAGCTTGGTAATCACAGCATTTTCCACCTCACCAGCTCCCATGAAGGGTGCCTTAATCACTGGTGATGCAGAAGGGACTCCCCCAAGCGACACAGGTGCAGTCCAAAATGTTGTGCTGCTTTCTATAGCACCAAAGCCAGCCTTTTGGGGTGGAAAAAATTGTTCAGCAGATACAAATCCATCACTATCATCAGCAGCCTGGTAAATGTCCACCCATATCTGCCATTACCAATCTCCTGGGACATGGGGTACTGGGCAAAGGCTCAAGGCACTGCCTTTCATCCACACTTCTGAAACCCTTAGGTCTGGAATTTCAGGCTCTTACACCTCATCCAGAAAAGTCCCACAAAGACAATGGACAAGGCAGCACATGCTGAGGATGAACCATTACAAAGGAAACGACTACATCCCTTTTTAAGCACTTTAAGTGTATGTTTTTGCATGCAGAAATTGTTAAATGGTTACAGCAACACTAGAAAGGTTTGAAATGCTCTGTTCCCACTCCTGCTAGCCTGACCTGGAAGAAGAGATTTGATGTGGTAGAGTCTGTTTTGTATCCACCATCTTTGTGTGTGCATGTATATACAGAGACAGACAGACAGAGAGACATCATCTTTGAGACCTAGGAGTTGGTAAGAAAAAAGTTTACAAACAATCACACCCACAGCCTGCAGCTATTCGTGGAAATGAGGAAAAAATAGCATGTAAGAGACATCAGCAGGAAGACTTGTTGCCATTGGAAGCACCTGCATCTCTCCAGGAAAGCAAGCGGGAAGAGCCAGAGCCTCACCATCAACAGCAAGATGTTTTCATCGTCATGCTCTCGAACCTGCTGTTGCTCTGAGCATGAGTCACTGAGTGAATGGAAACATGCTGTCAATCAGCATCTCTAAATGGGTGCCCTGGGTCTGGCTGGGATGGCGTTAGTTTTCTTCCCAACAGCTTTCAGTGGTTCTGTGTATAGGAGGGGAGTGAGCAGCTGCACGGTACCTACACGTCTATTGGGGTCAGCCCACAGTAGTGGGCTTTGATATTAGCATATACACAGCAGCTATTCTCCAACAGAGTTAACAGACAGCTGTATGGGACAGACAGAATTAGGTGCAGCACACACGAAGTACGAGCACCAAGCCTTGGAGAAAACAGGTACAGAAGAGCTCACACCCTGAGCTGATGAAGGGCTACAATGCCTCAACAAGTCAGTAAGTGCCTACAAGTCAGAAATGGGCCATTATTTTCAATGAACAATTTAATTCATTAAACACAGCATTTTGCTTTTTGCAGCTGAATGTTCTGCAATCAGACAATGATGCTTTTAAGCATGATTGCTGTTTACAATTGTCCAGAAAGCCTGTTGCTCCTGCACTCCACGTTTCCCATTACTTTCCCCATGCAGGAGTGTCACTTGGTGGGCAGGTTATTCTTCCCCAGCTGCATATTTTCAGGAAGAGGATTTATGAAGTGCCAAAGGCTGGCAATTAGAAGGATCTGTTCTAGACCTAAGGCATAATAACAGCTGTAAAAATAGCCATAAAAACACACTCAGTGTGACACCTCCTTTGTTACTAAAAGGGCTTTTGCCCTCTGCAACAGAAAAATTCCCTTCCCCTAAATGTATTTGCTGGATCAAAGAGCTTGGGCAGCACAGGGAAATTGGGCAGCACAGGGAAACAGCCCAGGGAGGAAGGAGGGGGGTGACAGAGGCGGCTTGGAGGTGTGGATGGAGTGCTGGTGCCACACGTCAGAACTAAGAGATGGAATCTGTGCTGGTGGATTGGATAATTCATAATTGGATACTGGCAACACAACTCTCTGAAAACACAGGAGAAAGAAGAGATCCTGCAGGCCCTCAGAGGCAAATGAGATGGAAAGCAAGCTGGGGGAAGGAAGCTGAACATGAGGAAACCTTTTCATGAAAGATAATCTCCAGGCCTTGTCACTCAGGATCTCCAGGAGCTGGGTGCCACGGAGCACAGAACAAAACTCTAGCTCTTTTAGGGTTGTACCCTGAGCTGGGATAACGGGCAGACAGGGCGACTGATCATTACTGAAAGAGCTCTGTAAAAGCTGTTTAAGTGGACTCCAAACAAAATAGGAAAGTTCTGACATCTACTTTTGGTGACTAATATATTGTGGTTTTCAAAGCAAAGCAGAGGCTCAGGCAGCTAGCCTGGTAACCAAATGAAAATCTGGCAAAGAATTGAATTCAGTACCCAATTATCTATGGGGATACTCTGGATTTCTTCAGTACCTTTTGAGAATATATGATGGTACAGCAAAGGACTCATAAATCAAAGTGAAGATGCAGGGTACAAATGCCTCTGTCCTCAGCATGTCATCCAAGCCAGGGACAGCTAGGCTGGTGACAAGAGACCAGACCCTATCAACCCCTGTCCTTTTAAGGCATTATTCTTTGCAAATCGTACCAGACATCCCAGGAGACTGTGTGATGAGCAGCCTACCTTAGCAGGGCACAGATCTCTGACACAGGGGGTTATTTCCAAGAATCTATCTTTACCGTTAAGCCAATTAATCATCCATTAAGAACTGCCAATGCACGCAAGTTGAAAGCACATCAAAAACAAAATGAAAATGCAGTCTTTGAAAGAGCACAGAGAAAACTGAGCTCTTCAGGGTTCTGAGAAGTGTCATTCCTTTTTAGTTTGATGAGCAATAATCAACAGTGCACTTCCAATTTGAGGGAATTGGGTTGGGAGAGCAACAGGACAGGATAATTCTGCCCTGTGTCCATCATGTTGTAGAACCCAGTTCAAGTCCTCTGCAAGTACAGAGCAGTAGATAAGTGCATTTAAGCATCAGAGAGTTATCACATTAGTTGCTTTGTAGGATCCAGTCCTTGGGCATGACCACAAGGGAAAGTTTCCTAGATCATTTGCAGTTAAGGACATGTACAGCTCAGGATCAGTTAAGGTGTATACTAGGTTTCTCAGTAACTCATATATTTTCCTAACAGCCACCTTGCAAAACAGACTCATCGTCCCATCCAACCCCATAAAGACTCCAATAACGACAATAAAACTAAAGCCTTTAATCTGCCTTCCACTTCTTACTGCTGCCCATCTATCCCTACCAGGCAGGAAGTCTGCAGGAGCAAAGGCAGCAGCGTTTCGTGGCAGTCTGTCACTTTCTGCTAATCTTCCAATGCTGAAAATCATTTTAAATCCATTCCTGTCTTTTTACATTTGCATAATTGTCTGGAAAGAAAACTCTAAAAAGGCAGAGTCTGATTTACTGTGAATGAACATGTCATAAAACATTCCCAACTCTGCAGCACTTGTGTAAATCTTTCATGATTTAAAAGTTGCCAAGTTACCAACACTATGAGTAGTATGAAGTACTGGGCTTTACCCCCAGTGTATCCAAAGAAACAGCTTCAGGTTAGGCTTCCTTTCTCAGAAGCTAGGTTTTGCCTAGAAAATGAAAGGGTAATACCCAGAAATTATTTGCATTTACCTTCAGTGACAAAATAGACTTTGGGAAGGTTGAAAAATGCGCCTACAGTTTTGGTGAAGAACAAGGATGTTCAAAGCATTTCCCTGTTCAGGGTTAAAAAAGAAAAAAAGATTTTCTTATGGTGCATTTAACACAATTTAAGAACACATCTACATTGTCCTCCCCTGAGCACCTACACGTGGACCCAGGGTTGATCCAATCCACGTGGGCTGCCCAACACCAGCTTGGGTTTACCACCAGCCATCTACCACTGCAAGAAAGACCCAGAGCTTTCTGGAATAGAACCACAGAACCGTTTAAGATGGAAGGGATCTTTAGAGGTCAGTCATTCCAACTCCCCCGCATGGAGTGAACAAGGAGACACACTTCACCCTATTCCCTAAAACAAACCCTCCCTCTGCACTTGGAAAGTAGACAAAGGGGGGATGATAAAGGAGTTTACTCAAAGCCAGGAGCGGCCCATACCCTAAAACAAGAGCTGTAGCCTTTCATCTCACAAATAGCTCCACATGCTTTTCCCCATCCCATCCCTCTCCGTACTTTTTCCCCCCCCACTTTCCTAGGAACAAGCCTTTTTCCCAGGCATTCCACACCTTCAGACGTTCAATTTATCAGAACTGTTCTTCTTCCTCTGATTGGCACACCATCCCTGGCAGAAAACCTGAGAGAGCTCGGAAACTAATTTTCCAACAATATTTCCCGTAGCAAGAAATATATCCACTTCTGAATAGGAGACGATCACAGTCTTTAAAGTTTCTGTCAGCACTTGCAACACGAGTGATAACAGACAGCTTTGTTTCATACGCCAGTAGAGCAATAGCAGGAAAATCATTGTTGGAGTCCCCACTAAGAAAAAAGCTAACTACCAGTGCCTTTCGTTTCCATGAGGTTCTGAGTGTTGCCAGCACAGGTCCATCAAATCCTATCACCAGTTTCTAACCCAATCGGTGTTACAGCCTCAAAATTCCTGCTCCTCACGTGACACACATTAGGATGTGCAAAATCCCTGCTTTCTGCCTCCACAGATTTATCAGAGAGACAAGGTTTACAGAAAGGAGCATTGCCTCGTATTTAATCAACTGGATGCAGCTGAAAATATAAAGAGCACATTCACAGGCCCAGAAGCTTCTTTTCAAGTGTGACACAAGCACAAAACCTCAAGCTAAGCACAGATTAGAAACAATTGCTCCAGGTTTAAGTTAATTACACAAACCAATTAGACAATCTAAGGGGAAAATGTACCTGCAACAGAGCACAGAAATGGTGATCACTCTTCTTGTGATGCAGAGTAAGGCATGAAGTTAGCATACATGACAGTAAAAAAAACACAAAAAAAGCACCTCAAAGCCAGTATATCACTTGAACTTAGGATATTATATATTCAAAGCTATAAATTCTTACCAGATTGATGCCTTCAGGAGGTTTTATAGATCTCCTTTGAAGAACAGTTGCAAGTTTAGAGGCTTGTCCTTCTCTTGTAGGTATTCAGGCTGGACTGAGGTCACCAGGAGGTTTTAACACACCATTTCTATCTGTAGTTTCCATCACACTGTACTGCAGCACTGTGCTGAGCAGAGACTCAGTGACAAATCTCTCAGCCTGCTCTCAGGTTAGGAGTACAAGTCTGACCTGCAGTCCTCCCATTGGCTCAAGGGACTGAGAAAAGACTCCCTTGCTTTCTGTGCTCCTTCCCAGAGAGGACCTGGATGCAGCTAAGCAGAGCAGGGCACCCTGTGACCCATTTAAAAAAGCAAAAAAAGAAAAACCATTAGTTGTTAGAATAGTTAGGGAACCCACACTCTCCATCTTGGGCACATACGCTCACCTGGGAGTACCCCTGAGTTTGTCTATTATGCAAACACTTGCCTCAAATCAGCATGGTTTGAATATAGCCTAAAATGCATTTGTTCCACCTGTTGCTAATCTATAAAAGTTTTGTGAAATTCTCTAGAGACTCCTCCAGTAAGTTTATTGACTTGATGCCAGAAGCCCCAGTAGAAACAGAGAGTGGGATCTATTTAAGTGACACAAATTTCACAGCAGAGCAGCTAAAAATAAAAGCCAGAATATGAAACAAAGATGTTCTGATCATAAAGGAGCAGGCTTGCTAGAAACGTTGTTGAGTGAGTTATCTTCTTCACAGCCAGCACTCCTGTTACCCACAGGGCAAAGATATCCTGGACCAGGCTGCGATTCAACCCTACAAGGGATGCTCCACTCCTTGTGAGCAGTGCAGAGTACTTCACAAAACATGGTCAGCAGCAATGGCTGCTGCATTTGCTCCAATAGCACCATCTTCCTGCACAGACACGTCTCTGTAAGCACTGCATAGTGCTGCAGGTGTTCTGGAGGGGGAGGGAAAAAAAAAAAGGGAAACAGGGTTCAGTAGAACTGGGAAAGGACAGATTCCAACAACTGAGATTCTTTTGCAGCTCACAAATCCAGTGTAAGATCTGCAATTATATGTGCTGGCATATAATAAGACAGCTGATCACTGCATCAAGGTGTAACCACAGCACTCTTCCTCACCCTCAGAGGCAGCCAATGGCAAAGCTCAGTATCTGTTCTCATCCCACTGGTCCTCGAAAGCACCCACAGACTCTTTCACCATCATCTTTTTCAGACTCCAGCTATTGCCAGCTCTCTTCCTTTAGCAGTTCTCACTGCTAACCCAGCTATCTCACTTGCAACCCTCCAAACACCTTGTAGCCACTCCAGTAACCATTTCCCAGCTCCCAAACCTGCCACAGGTCATCCCCACTTCCAGCTCAGAACCTGTTCCACCACCACAAGTTTTCCTGCCTCACAATCCTTAAGTAGACAAAACTGCATTTCCTGATGCAGAGAGGAAAACCTTGATGTGATTCTGAGCATACCATCAGATACTGAATCATATACTATCAGACTGCCAAAGCAGGAACAAGCTGGGTTTAAAATATCAGGACACACAAATTAATACGGTACTACTGCATGTTGCATTAACAATGATGCAGTTACAAACAAAGAGTTTGCCAAAGGTTTGAATTATCTCCTCGATTAAGAACTGCAAAGGAGAAAAGAATGAAACATTTTTCCAGCCAAAGGGCAATAACCAACACATTCACTTTCAGAACAGGCCAATTTCTTGTTATATTACGTTACTATGGCTGCATGCTGAAACGTGTCACATTATATTAAAAACAACAGAACTTGCAATCTGTTTCCAGATCAGACATCGATAAAAAACAACCGTAACAATCAGTGCTCTGGGTACCTGTGAGAAAATTGATAATTTAGAACCTCCAAGACCTCTTTCCATTACAAAGATGTCAGTAAAAACAAAGCCAAACAGCATCTCCAAACGTACTCCCTGCAGAGCTTTTTGTGGTACGTAAGGATGAGACCAACCAAATGAATCCAGAAAGATGGGTGCAAGCCAGCATCCCTGCAAAAAGCACAGAAGTCAGGAAGCCAAAAAAATCATACAGATGCTGATGTCTTCTAAGACCTTCCTGATGGCAGTCAGAAATGGGCCCATGGAAACTGCCCTGTGTTGAGGTTGGAGGACGTGCCAAGTGAATTGGGTCTACAGTGATAAAGACACCTAGAAACCAAGGTCTAGCTCAGGTTCAGGTACAATATCACCTGCACCTAAGGGCAAGCAAAGGTGACAGTTATTCTTCCTCCTGACTTATCAGAAATTAAGTTTCCTGATCAGAAAGTGGCCCTTTTGCTGCTTAGCTCACTGGGCACACGTGCAACCAAGACACTTGAATGCCGATGCCTTCCCAGCAGACAGGCAGAATTGCAATACTGCATTAGCACCCTAAAATATCAACTTTCCTTTCAGACTCAGAGCCACGCTGGAGAACACTGTGGGAAGTCTCCTGCCTACTGGCATCTACCTAAAGAGAACAAGGCTACAAAGGCAGAGGATGCCCATTTGATTTGTTGCAGTGCAAAGACTTAGATTAACACAGCACCTTGCAGGGAAAGTGACCGTGGAGCAATCACAGCACTGTTGCTTGCCATCTATTCCTATCTGGCCCTCCCATCCTAAAACGTAACCTTTCCTCTTTCAAAAATAAGTCACTCAAAACACTGGGCTTTTTCATACTCTTCACGTGCTCTGGATGGGGACTCACAAATCTCTGACATACAGCATCTAGTTGTAAAAGCGTTGCTGCGAGGCAAGCTAACCATGACACCATGCTCTACTGCATTCCATTCTGATGGGAGAACTGAAATCCAGACTATAGAAAAGAAGTTACCCCCAAAAAGACGAAGGAAGGTTTCCTTCCAGAAAGCTCAACGCTGATTCTTGAGGAAACCAACCTTCCTGCTGTCCTCCAAACTCTTGGGCGAGAGGCTCATGAACTCAGCCTTTTCAACAGCCAGCACATGTGCTACACAGAGATAACACCAGGGCAGCCAAAAACCAATTCACCTCTCTCTGGAGCAGGTGTCTGTGATCAGGAAGGATGGCTCCACTCCCCTCAATTTGGCTAATGGCTCACTGAGTCCCATTTGAGCAACTAACCCAAGACCACATCTGTATTAATAGCCCTAACCCTGGACACAGGTTTAATTTGTTTAACATTAAATTTAGGGATTCAGGGGCTTCCATAATGAATTTCATTAGATAGAAAAATTCTGTAATGCAGTGTTTTATGATTAATTAACTGTGCATTAAAATGGTAATTATAATTATGCTCATAATTCCACACTCTTCAGCCATTATCATCATAATTGATCAAAATGGTTTACCCCACAAGCATTTTAAAAGCTGCAGCGCAGGAGCAAAACCTCTCCAGCCCACACCAAACACAGCTTTTGCAGACAGTCCCCAGATACTGTCTCTTCATTCCAGGACTTCTAATGCAGAAGTCTTTTGAACAGCCGTGACAACTTCACCAAAAAGCTGTTTGTTATGACGGGTATAAGGGAAAAAGAGAGATGAAAGCCCATTTGTAGATGGAAAAAGCCTGCTTCTGATCAGAACGCCGTCAAGGAACAGACTGTAGCTTCACTTTGAAAATGGCCAGGTGCCCTACTTTTCTGTTTTCTGTGCATGGCTTGTGATCACAGGCTTCATCAAAAGCACCTATTGCCTGTTTTTGAAGATAATGGAGATTAGACCAGGGAGATCAAACAGATCAGAAGGCAGCTGAATAATTATCCCCCTACCTTTACACGTGCATTACATCACAGCCAGGGATTGGAAAATGCTTTAAAGAAAAGGTGGAAAGGGTGGAAAAGTACTACTGACCTAAATTGCCAGTAGCTCAAGCCCAGAAATGGAAGAATTAGACAACTGTCCTGTAACAGACAGAACACAAATCTTATTTCAGCCATCTGCCCCAAGACACACAAAAAAATGATACTGTTCTTGAATGTCTCTGCTATCTCCATTTGGGTAATCACTCTCCTCAACATTTCTTGAGGAGTTTTGATCACATCATGCTTTGAGACTGTTCTTTCTTATATCTGATTGCATCCTCACTGCCTTTCTGGATTATTTTGCTTTGGAAAACAAAATCACAGAATTGTAGGGGTTGGAAGGGACCTCCAGAGATCATCGAGTCCAACCCCCCTGCCAAAGCAGGTTCCCTACACCAAATGTTCTCCAGCACCCTTCCTATGGCTGCCTTGGCATGGGTCAACAATTCCCTTATTTCTACCAAAATTATAGTCACGTTTGGGGGGAGGGGAAGGAGGGGACATTGTAAACACCAGCTTAAAAAACCCACAAGATAGCTCACAAGAGGCAGCAGCCTGCAGGGATATCCCAAACGTGGCCGTTCACCAGAAATTAGGCTGTTTTCATGTCCTGACAGTCACAGCTTGCTAGGGCCACATGGAGCTTTTTGCAGCCGGTGTGACTGTCGCTTCAGCAAATCCCTTACTGTAGAGAGACAGCAAAGCAAAACCTGCAAGCACCAGCAAAAGCTTAGAGTTCTCCAGAACTGCTATCACAGAGCAGTTGTCTTTTTTTTTCCCCTCCTCACGACGTCAACCTTAGTTTGCCTTTCTATATCCTTTTCCCTTCAAATACCTGCTTTCTTACCCTCTGACCAGGATGCGTCAGCCTCGCGTTTTCTCCAGCTCCACCCTTCCTCTCCTCTAAGCTGCGTTTTAGGAGCACCCAATCATATTCTGGAAGCTTAGCACAAACGAGCTGCTCCCCACCACACCGGTCGTTCTTCCAGCCCCCCTCAATCACGTCCACAGCTCCTCCTGCTGGCTTCCAGCATGCTCTCAAATCACTACATGAAGCTGTGACCGTTCCTGAAGAGCTGTTTCCTAGCACACAGCAAAGAGCAATAGCGCTGGTGGGTCAGTCCTCTCCTTGCTCTTTCCAACACGTGGATGAGAGTCGGCATGGAGCCTCTCTGCTGGATCCAGCTGTATGTAGAATGCAATCTACATATACATAGATACAGCTGATCTACATGCATACATAAGGATGCAATCAGTTTATATGCTACCTTCCTTTGAGGTTGGGCAGGGAAATACAACCACAGCTCTGCATGCCACGATCTGAGCAGCATGTTTTGTATTCATGTTTTGCAACATGAAGTGTTTTACGAGGAGCGAGCAAGGTTTTTTTGACGGTTGGACTAGATGATCTTGCAGGTCATTTCCAGCCTTGTGATTCTATGATTCTGTGATAAGTTCATTCTGTTGAGTGCTAGACTAAAAGAGGAGCCTGTTTTTCATAAATAGATTATTGTAAGACCTCACCAACAGCAGACTTCCCAGCTCTCATATCAGCTTTCTCCTGTACTTCTGAACTTGACTTCTTCCAAGTACACCATCCACCTCTTCAAAATAACTCCCAGATTCTACCAGAACATCCCAGTTAATTTCAGTCACTCCTTCCATCCACCCTGAGCACCCCCAAAAAACCACTCTTCCTCAGAGAGTGGAAAAGAACAACTCCTACCAGCAATCTTCTCAGTCTATCTTAAAAATCAAGCAACAAGATGCACCTGGGGAACTGCAAGCCTGTGTCTGCACTGCAGAGATGTGATGAGCCTCCCTGCTGGTGGCAACTCAGTGCTCAGGAGACTCTCATGTGCCACCTGGTCTGGCATAGCCCCCACTCCTTGGCTCTCCAACCTTTGCCCAGCTGCCTCACAGAGATCTGCACCTGGCAGTAGATTTTCAGGTGAATCTTGCTGCCTTGTGCACACCTGGATACCTCCCAGAATTAAGATATCTTCAAATGCATGAAGATTGCAGCGCAGTGCCCTATCTGCCTCAGACTTTCTTATCTTTGCAGAGCAATAACTTGTCTTGCACTGGTGGTTTCTCCACTGCAAAGCAACAACTCAGATCTCAGCTTGTGCTTTAGGTCCTTCTGGTGTGTAAATAGTTAAGTTCCTAAATCCTGGCCCTGCTTTTCCCAGACCTGCCCTCGAGAAAAATTATTCTCACATCTTTCCAAGGGGCTCAGCTGTCACCTTTTGAAGGGGGGCAGTTAGTGGGCATAGGGTACAGATGGTGGCCCCAGCCCGGGTCAGGCTGCCTGTGGGGAGTGGGCTGGGAGCTTCCCAGGGCCCATTCCCACCAGAACAGCACCCATCCTGTGAGCTGTGAGAAGCCAAGGGGTGTCAGATCTGCTAAAAAACCTCTGTTCAGTTTTAAACTAATTGCCAGAATGCAGCATTAAGGGGCCCTCCTGAGGCTGCACAGAAGACTACTAGAAGGAATGCCCTAACGCTTGCTGACCAAACCTGAGCAAGGAGATGCTTTGTCTCCTCCCTCTGCTCTGCTCACCAACTGCAGTCATCGATCCTCCCAATTTAGACCTGTTAATGCAGTAACCCTGGTGAACACCAGCCATGCTTTAGAAGTACATTAACCACAGACCCAGGTAATTGTGAATGATCATATCATGCCTCTCTGAGAACAGAGAGCCAAAGATGAATTTAGGCTAAATTCATATTTTGCATCTACACATAAAAAAATAAAAAGAAAAATGTCACACCTCTAGCACAGGCTCTGCAGAAAGCATGAATCCAAGAGCAGCTGATGCATTCTCATGTGGAATGCTCTGCCTTTGGGATGCGTCAGAAGCTGGGGAGGGATACAGGAGTAGGACTGATCTGGGATATTTGTCCAGGCTCCAAAATGGCATCAGCCAGAGACAATAGCTCTGCATTCAGGCTTTGGCTGAAGCTTCCAATTATTTCCAATTAAAATTTGTGTGGCAGAGGTGCACAGAAGATCATAAGACTGACAACAGTCCGCTGCTCCAACACGTTTGGCAGCTATGGTCATAAAGCCTTCAGATGCTCAGATGAATAAAGAACCAGCTGGGCAGCAAGAGCTGTGAACAAGCTGCCAGCAAAGACAGTTTCTCCTTTCCTCTCTGCTGTTGTGTTGGACTCCTGGAACAATTCTCTTGGATGTCTGAGACCTTGTTACTCCTCTGAAACTGCCCAAAGCAAATACTGATAGTGGACTGTGTGAGACAAGATATTAATCCCTCACTGAGGGGAACCAGAATACCTGTAAGGTGAATTGCAAGGAATTATGGCATGCTAGGATAATCAGTTAGTAACTGTACCAGACACTGTGACTGTGCTCTGTCAGTGCATCTGGCTACTGCAGTCCTCCACGAGCTGTCAGCTACACTGCAAATTGATCCAGCCATCATTCTGGAGTATTCAGCAACTTGCTCGCATTTCGTGTGGCAAAGCTCCCTGCTCTGCATACTTGCTGCAAGTTCTGAAGTATGACATGTACCTAAAAATGCAGCTAGTATTGAAATACAGAGCAATTTAATGGGAATGAAGAAGATGCAGCAACAGTCTGGACATAGTTTCAGTCCAGTAAATAAGAGCTAGGAAAGATTTTTGCTTGCATACCAGGAGAGAAATCCAAGATGAAAGTCTTCATAATACTTATAACAGCCACCACTCAGCCAAGAATCAGATCTTCTGCTGGAGAAAGCTACAGCATCTCTTTCTTGGGCTCATTGCTGCCCTTGTTTATCCCAAAGCTCAGAATAAGAGCACAGGAATCTCAGAAAAATCTCAGAAAAAATAGATTCATTTCCTGGAAAAAGTGGGATTTGCCTCTTCCACATCACCACTTGAACATCATATGCACAATGCACTCCTGGAACTGGACTTTCTCCCATTCTTTTGGAGCTGCTGAACCTATTCTGCATCACCTAATTAATCTGGAAGCCTTACACCTAGTGTCTGACCTAGTAATTTGGGCAGCTGTTTGAGCAGAAGGAGACCCTCCATCTAGTTTCCATATCAATAAACGTCAAAGGAATGAACACTGCAAATTTAAATGACTTCTTTCATCAGTGCCTCATACAAGATGCTGAAATCCTCAGGATAACAGCGCTGATAGAGGAGGAGTGGGCTCTTCTGCACCTCAGGTTCCAGCTGTCTCTCACCTCTGCAAGGTGCCAAGAGAGCCACTGGGGAGGGCAAGGCACCCAGACAGCTCAAAGCATCTCTGCCAGATAAACGTTAATCCAAGTTAAATTCCTAGCAGTGTTCAGCCTCTGCAATTGACAGGTCTAATTTCTGTTAATGTCTCACAACCAGAAGTCCAGAGGGTATTTAAAGATCTAGGACCTGAAATCCAGCCCTCCTCCAACACAGAGCTAATTTTACACATGAGAAACAGGAGCAAGATGCCTAACACCAATATAAGATACCCCGGAAGATCAGTGAGATACCAGATGGGTGGGAGGGACGGACACTGAACACCAGGACTGATGCACAGAGTGTCTTCAGTGGGCTTTGATCAGGTGTTTGTAGGACTGACACTATACACAACTACTTTACGTTGCGTACAGATTCAACATCATTACCTTGTGCATGCTTCATCCCTCTGACACTTATGACTGCACTCAAAGCTTCATGCCTGTGTGGTCCTTGGCACAGCCACTGCCAGACTGGAAGGGGCATCAGCTGGCAGGTGGCTTCCAGAAGCGTGTCTGGAACATCATGAGTTGTAGCCTTGAAATCTTAAAAAATATGTTTGCCCTTCAAAATCAGAAAGTCACATATTTTTGAGAGTCTGTTCCATTTCAACAGCAATGTGCTCAGATGCTGTGGAGAGAAAGTGCACTAAAAGCCATAGCACATCACTGCCCTGCATAGGAAGCCCCACGGCCAGCAAAGAACTTGTAGCATTGCCTACAGAGAGCCTGAAGAAGATGCTTTTCCAAAACTGGCATTTGCATTGTAAGAGATCTTCCAGACTCATTATCCTAATAAAAATATGCACTCTGACTTTTCTTTGTAAAGATATCCTCAGATTATGAATGAAATATAGCCACCTGCAGCACAAAACTCTAAAAAGAGCACCTTCTGAAACACCTTCTCTACCCTTCTCACCCACAAAGGCACAAGAAAAGCAGAAGAAATTATGCATGTCAGTTGCCAATCTGTTTTGTTGGCTACCTCCATCCAGCTATAGAGAGGAGTTGCAATAGGGTGATGTGATTTACACCTGGCTATAGACATTGTGCAGCAAGGGAAGGTACAACCACATCCTATCAAGGTATGTAAACATCCTACCTCAAACTGCATCCACCTTTAACTCTGAACCAAGTCTTTTTGGACAAATGGTACACAATAATTTGATGTGGAAAAAATTCCTCCTTGATCCTAACTATGAATAGGAGATAAATAGGTCTGGAGCCACACCTCAGAGCATGAGGTCACCAGACTGGCCTGTTCCTGCTGACAGCACTTGAAACCTGGATGTGCAATGAAGCCAACCAAAGCAATAGTGCACCTAGAATTTTTTACTTCACAGAATCTTAGAATATCCCAAGTTGGAAGGGGCCCACAAAGATCGTTGTTGTGGTTTAATCCAGCAGGCAGCTCAGCATCACACAGCCATTTGTTCACTCTCTGCTTGCCCCAGCAGGGCAGAAAAATTGTAAGACTCAAGATACAGACAGTTTAATATGACAGAAAAGGAAGGGAAGAAGAAGATACAAAATGAGTGATGCACAGTGCAATTGCTCACCGCTCACAACCACATTTAAAACAAGGACAAACATGAAGTCCAACTCATGGCTCTACACAAGGCTACCTAAAAATGTAACTCTATGTCTGAAACCAACATCCCAGCACTCAAGGCTGTGCCCACCACCCTGGCAGCTGTGCTGTGCCCACTGCCCTCTGGGGCACAGCTTTGCCCTCACTCCTACCTGA